GAAGCTGGTAAGTACGGTATTGCCCTTCTGCTCTCCGAAAAACAATGGGGCTGTCTAGCGAGCCTTGCAGCGTGCAAGCTTCATAGGTCTGCAGCCCTGCTTTCTCTGGTGCCTAAACTGTGCTCAGTCGTGCCCTGGCGCAGCAGTCCTCTATATAGGGAAAAGGCGCCTTTAGATGTCTGTATAAGATTGTTCGCCAAGAGTTTTCCGCTGAATATTGTTGCGATCAACTTACTCCTGCCTTTCGGCTTGTTTGAAGAAGCCTCCCGCCCCCGTAGTTGTCCGTCAGATGTATTTGTACTACAGCGCCCATTATCTTTGCTCAATCTTTTCATACACTGTGGATTATGGGACTTTAAAAAAATGGAGCGGAACAGGGAGGCAACATTTTCTATTCGGTTTTCCCTTAAAAATTCGTTAGGTTACAGCGTATCATGACCTATTTGTATCTGTAGAGCATTCTGGGGTGTTTCTGTGCACACCTTGTAAGCACCTTTAGTTGTTTGGCAGACATAATTATCTCCAGATTTGAGTGATGAACCGTAACTGTCAGGAAATAGGCTGTTTGCTGTATAATCCCCAAAGCAGTTGAATTGGTAACTTTAAAACTATAAATGTGACTATATCAGAACTGCCTTTTCCAGCCTGTATGAGCCTGATATACTAAAGAGAAAGGTGAGAACTGAAGTTGGAAGGCACTGCTTCTTAGCGGTAATGTAGTTGTTGGGGAATGATCTTCCTGTGGAGATCAGGCTAGCCACCTCCTTGGTGAGTTTCAGAAAGTTCTTAAGGTTTATTGGAGAATAAATGAGACATCAGTTTAATCTTTATTTTCATGAATTTGTTGTGAGCCTGGTTGTTGAGTTGCTTGGCCATAAAAATAAATAAAACAATAAATTAAAACTTGAGCTTTTTGGAATGTTTCTGTCATGTTTACTGAGTTGTGTCATTTACTGATTTATTTTTCTATTATTATTGTTATACAGATATTAGTCATTTGTGTCATGATTTAGTTTATTTTTGTTCATCCTGTTGTAGATGTTTCAATATTTTAATATTTTAATCAAATTAATTTATTTGTGGGAAGATATTTGTGTATATACTACTGAGACGTGTTCAGATATAACTTCAATAAATATTTTTTTCCAATAGGTTATCGGCAATTGATTGAAAAACCATTTTACAAATTCACTGATTTAAAGGTTGCAGCTACCTACCAAAAAGGAATATTAAAACAATCTAAAACTGTTTCTAAAAAGAAAAAAAGTTCACCATTGAACCAATGATTTGAAAGATTCTGAATAGTGCCAAAACTTCCATTGCTTTTGATGCTTATTTTAGTTCTTTAAAACATGATAATCCAGTTCTCATGGAAGAAATGTTTCCCATTATATTGTGTCCTCAAAGTTCCAGCTGCTGGCTTCAAAAGTACAAAAGAAAAAGGGCTTATCCTACAGTCTGTGTCTCAGGATGTTTACCAGAATCTAGCATTAGAGGATTGGATCCATGATAACATGGATTTTGAGAAGAGACATGTTCTTCTCCTCTGGAGAAATTCTTCTGCTGTAGTGATTGGTCGGCACCAGAATCCCTGGCAGGAATGTAACCTTGGAGTCATGAGGCAGAAGGGTGTAAAGCTTGCTCGAAGACGAAGTGGAGGAGGTGCAGTTTACCACGACAAAGGCAACATTAATCTGACTTTTTTCACTGACAGAAAAAAATATGAAAGAATTGAAAATTTAAAACTGGTTCTTAAAGCTTTGAAGTCCCTGCGACCCCAGCTAGATGTTCAGGCTACTGAAAGATATGATCTCTTGTTAAACAAAATCTTTAAAATTTCAGGAACTGCTGCAAAATTAGGAAGAACAGCTGCTTATCACCACTGCACTTTGTTATGCAGCACTGATAAATTGGTTCTAACATCTGTGTTAAAGACTCCTAACAGTGGAATCCAAAGTAATGCCACACCAAGTGTGCCTGCATTAGTGAGAAATCTCTATGAAGAAGATCCCACATTAACTTGTGAAATGCTTATGGAAGCCATTGCTGGCGAATATGCTTCACATCATCACATAGAAAACCATATCCATGTCATAAATCCAGCCAATGAAACAGAATTCCCTGGAATTAACAATAAAGCCATAGAACTAAAAGCCTGGAATTGGCTATATGGAAAAACACCAAAGTTCAAAATCATCACATCTTTTAATATACGTCATGAGGAATCCAATGTTGAAATTCAGATAAGTATGGATATAAAGAATGGTAACATTGAAACTTGCCAAATAGATGTGCCTCAGAACTGGCTGCCACTGGATGTATGTGTGGAACTCGGGAACAGCCTGATTGGCAACAAGTTTTGCCCAAATGAAAACACTGCTCTGGCAACTGCTTTGCTGCGAACTTGGGCAGATTCTACATTACACAGCAAATTGCATATCTTATGTGAGAAGATTGTAACATTAATGTAACTTATGTGATGAACTGGATTCTTGGATATCAAATTAGTAGTTTTCTAATACAAGATTGTTATGATGTTAGAAGAGTTCGGTGAATGTAAATTTAATGTTACATAATAACTGAACAAAATAACATTTGAATATAAAGCTCCTTTTTTAGAGGAGGTTGATATTGATACTGCAGTCATTAGCTACTCAAATGTGAACTCCATTGAGTTTAATGGAACTTGAATTAACTTACTATAGAGTTGAAATCAAGAATGCAATTGTAAGAATAATAATACACTTGGGTGAGCAAAAATGTGGAAGGAAAGCTATAAATAACCATTTTCATATTCAATATACATATTACTAGTCCAAACACCCAACTAATGCCATATTTGAACTGACATGAAACATTACTCCTGTTCTAATCAACAAAATTTGAAATACGATTTGTTCTCCCTGTTTTCTGTACTGGATAAGATTGACTCAAGGTGAAATAGGCAGCAAATAAATCTAATAAATGACATGTTAACAATCTTGTGAAAGGTTGTTTGGCTTCTTTTACTTTAAATTACTTTTCACTAGTTCTTACTTCACCATTCTAGTAAGAACAGAAGATCTGTATGGGGTGAACAGTACATTTTTAAAAAACCAAGCCATAATCCCAAAAGGTCTATATTCTTATTTTTTATTAATTCAAATTTATTGACATAAAAAACAAAAATGTATATAAATTATAACTGTAATAATAATAATACAATATTATAAAAAACCCACTAACATTCAAAAGGACAAGAGTTCAAGAAATGAAATCCATAACATACTGGATCAGATGTTTAGTTTTGATCATTTATTTGATTCCAAAATATCAGTATCACCTAATAATTCTGAGGAGAGAAAAAAAATTAATTAAAAGAACATGCATGTTACAAAGAAGGTTTTAGGAATGGCACATCAAGACTAGAAAGGTTCTTTAAAGAACCCATAGATGAAATATGAGCTGTAAATTGCAAGCATGTACAATATTTTGAAAGTTCAGAAGATGTGGTTCACTATTACGCTCTCAGCCAATACATAGCTAGCTGGCCATGGTGTAATTTTCTTCCATTTTGGCTGAACAGACAGGTTTGTGGTAGTGGCATGGTTTTTGCAAAAAAAAAAAAAAAAGCAGGTGGACTCCTATTGTTCAAAGTATACCTGTCATGCCCCTGTCAGAGTCTGAAGCCAAGGAGGAAGACAAACAGCTGACAGGGAGTGTGGCTCGGTTGGCTGTGGAGGAAACTGGGGATGGGAGGGCAAAGTCTGGCTGGGCAGAGTAGGGGAGAGAGAGAACAAGGGAGAGGGAGTTCAGAGGAAGACCCAGGCCTGCCTCCTCTTCATCCTAGGGCACGCAGGGAGAAACAGAAGAGAGCAATGTGGGTTGCATGGTTTATGCGGGAGGAAAGTGCCCTGATTCCCTTCATTAGCCACAACTGGGAAGAAAGTTTAAAAGAAATGCAGGCTGCATGCAGCAGCTGCTGGGAGCAAATGTGAATTTATCTTGTGTTGACTTTGCTTATCTGTGTTCCTGGCCTCTTTCCAACTGTGTTGAGTTTTGCCCTGCCTTCACATCTGGAATTCTTGCTCCTGCCCTGCCAAAATAATTACCTCATTTTGTCTTGATTGTACTTATAGTTACAGTTTTTGTTGACCACATTTTGGACTTGATTCTCTCCAGTTAAAGGCAGTTCCTGGGAGAGTTCTTCTCCAGCCAGAAGGTAAGCAGGACATTGTGGGCAAAGTTGGAGCTAATAAAGGGACTTATTGATTAACTGACTTTGTTGCTTTTGTGCCACGCCACGGGTCATCACAATATCAGCATGCTATATGACCTAAGTGACTGCTGTGTAACTGTCCAAAAATCCTCTCCATTGAGCATCCTCTAATGTTCAAATAATTTGTCAGGAACCTTTTTTTTCTAATTGCAATAGCTTCATATAACTTGAAGAGACTGTTTTTTAGACTGCTAAATTCAAAAGTTCTTGGCTTATGATTGGAATTGCTATTGCTAAGTGATGCAGTAAGAAACTGGAACAACAGTTTTGCAGGGCTGCATAAAATGATCACTAAACAAGCACTTCACATGACCACAACTTCCAGCCAGCTTTCCCAGTGACTTCGTTTGTGGGAAGTTGGTAGGGAACATTGGAAATCACAATTACATGACCACAGTCCTTGAGACAACATAATCCCAAGCAGTGCGTCAAGTACCCAAATGGCAATCATGACTGTGGGGACACTGCAACAGCTAAACTATGAGGAAACCATTTGTTCAGTGCTGTCATAACTTTGAATGAACCTGTATCTGTACTGAGGTTTATTTCAGCTCTTTGTATAAAATAGTGACTCCAGTCATTGCATTTTAAAGATATATTCAGTAGTTTGTTTTAATTTAATTATTCTTCCAATATTTTACTTGATGTTAATTAAGGTAAGAATACTGATTTTCCTTTAAGCAAAATTTAACTGTTGAAGCCTCTTTTAAAATTAACTTGAGTTAAACATTTTTGCTTAAACAACAATTTATTTTATAAAAAAGCATATTAAATATACATCTTGGCAAGGATTTTACCTAGAAAACAGGAGTGGTTTCAGAAGAAATCATGTCTTCTTTGTGTAGTTATTGTGAAAGATATCCACAGTAGTTTCATTACAAGGTCTCAAATCAAAATCACAATATCCAAGACAAAAACGACCCTATAAAAAGTTGTTTTTCCTTAGCAAACAATTCAGGAATTCTGTTTAAAAAAAAGAAAACAAAAACAAAATCCCTTACCTGTGGTTTTTTAAAATAATCAAGGCCTCTTCCAATTTTAAACATCCATCCATTGTTGAATCTTTTAAATACAAGAATAAAGAAACACTGTTCAAAAATACAAAAATGGCAATGTCGTTCGTATGTTTGCAGATAATTCAGGAAAAGTATTTAAAAGATATTTCAATTGCCTTTTAAAATTAACATTAGATTTCAGTTTGGAAATCTGGCCTATCCTAGGCACAGCTATTTTTTACTCAGGCACATAAATATATATTGAGAGAGAAAAATATTTTTTTACATGAACACTGACTGCCAAATACTATTAAAGCAGCATCCTGATAACTCACTTGCAATCTGTCTGTTTTGATCTGAAAACCTTTAATAATCATGCATTAGACACACACCCACAAACACAAATTTGTTAATAAAGGGCAGACACACATTTTAAATCTAAACCCATTTGGAATTTTGTGAGCATGTCATGGGTGCTCTCACAGAATTACTGCCCATGGAAGGCTTTTCTACATTTACAAAATACATGGTTAGGGTCAACAGATGAGGGCTGCAGAACTCTTCCTGGTCAGTAGATGGCAGCAAAAAGATAAAGTACTATACTGTACTTGCAGTCCAAATCCTACTATGTACAAGAAAACAAACTTGTGCAGTTTTCTATGTCAACCCCCAGGAAGCCCCAGTATTACAAAATGGGTTGGGGCATTCTTGTAAACAAAGCTGAAGTTGGGGATTCATGCTTTATTTTTAAGCTCATTATGTTTTGTTTACATTCTTTCAATTAACAGAAATGGTGGAAATATTTCTGAATCCCTGATGCCTAAACACCTACTGTCTATCGATATTTTGGAAAGCACAATATTAATCAACCTTTAGTACATTATGTTTTTATTTACTGTACAGTGTTTACATATCACCAACCTAATTTCTCGATCATGTATTGAAGAAGAGTATGATATATCCAGTGTAATGCCAAAATCCCTTAGAGACTGTTGTATTTCTTCTAAGGAACCCATCTGTTGGCTCTTTCCATGACCCTGTTAAGACATTTTATAATTTAAACTTGAATAGACAATTGAAACTTGTCGATTCAGAATTCTCTGAAAAACATTGCTATTTTTAATTACATTAATGTAGGCCACATTAACATTGTTTTCAATCAAAACTTATAAATTATCTAATGAAGAGAAGCCTGTACCAATTATTTTTCTGGGTAAATGATGGATGACTTGTAAGAAAACCCTGATTCCATGACACAGAATCCATACATAAAAATGTAGAAACTGTAGGCCTCAGAGGCTGGTGGAAAAATCAGAGGAAGATGATTCCTGTCATCTCCTACAATACAGATTTTCAGAATTAATTAGTAAAGCACTAATACAATAGAAAGGGCAGCAAAACTGTATCTCAGTGATAGGGCATAAACTTGTATGCAAAAGGTACTTAGTAAAATTCTTGACATTTCATGTAGATACTGGAATGAAACTTTGAGGAACTGCTACAATAAACATAAAATATTGAACTGAAAACTAATTTTTTTTCTAATTACCAATTTAAAGTTGATATTATCTTACTGTAAAAAATACCTACATTAAGCTATTTTTAAAACTATTCTTATCCCAAAGCAAAACTATCTCCATTAATACAAGAAGTATTTAATTTTAATGTAAGTGATAGCAATCTTTTTCATCCACAAAATGATTTTTCAATCAATTTCTTTTCTGACCCAAAATGTGATATAGAATATTATTTACAGAATAAAAATTCTTTTCTGTATTCTAATCATGGTGATCGCAACAATACTTCCATTCAGCAAATGTATTTACTCTTACTTTAAGTAAGAGGACATTTATGCAATCCTAAATAATTTAAGAATTCATATTAAATTTTGTAATATGATTACAGTCAAAAATACTTACTTCTTCATGAGATGTAAGTAGGTGTATAGTTTTCATTCTGCATGGTCCTTTAACAAGCATTTCACAGAATCTTAAGAAGTTGTACAACTATAGAAAATTAAACAGGATTAATTTTTCAGATGGAAAAGGGCAAAATGTCTTGATTAAATGCAGCACTGCTATCTCACCTGATGGGTTTGGCGAATATAAGGATCCTCAACCCAAACCTCTGTAACAGTTTCATTTAGATACTCTTGGAACAGTTTTTCATAGCTGAATCCTTTGCTATTCTCTTCAATTTTTATTTGTTTGTGGCATTTCCCATCTAAGTACAAGAGCAAACTTTCACTAAGCATCGTACCTCATTACAATTATGGTTGAATTAAAAAGATGTTCCATTGTAACTTCATACCTTCTTTTTCCTTCACAACAGATTTTTTAATGTCTTCCGCTCTGTTCATGTACTCTGATATTTTGTTTCTGTAGTAAGCCTTTTTCTTTGCATCTTTTGTAGCTGCGAATAGAAGATACGAAAAAATGAAAAAAGGAAAAAGGATACCTGTACTTCCAACTGCCCACCCATTTTGTCAGGGCAGTTGAAAGTACAGGTAGTCCTTGACTTATGACAACGAGACCAAAAGTTCCATTGTAAGTCATTGTAGTCGTAACTTGAGTGGGACATGATTCTGCGATATCAAGCAAATCCTGCTTCAATGCCTTTTCCCATTGGTAAAAAAAGTTGCAAATTGTGATAATGTGATCACAGGAAGCTGCAACTGGCTGTAAATGCAAACCAGTTGCCAAGTGCCTGATCTGCAATCATGCAACTGCAGATGTGATATGATGGTCACCACAAGGGTAAGTACAGGTTGTAAGTCACTTTCTCCAAGGCCACTGAAACTTTACAGGGGGTCGTCCTCATATGACCGTTCATATAAAAATGGTTAAATGAATGATCATAAGGGATAAGAATATGTGCTTTGAGATCTTATTAAGAAAACAATGTGATCAGTATCCTTTCTAAAAACGTATAATGGAAGCTTTTTCCTTCAGAGGAATGTATGTTCTCATACATTGAATTGATATTGAATTATGGCTGCTTGGTGTTGCACCACACAGCCCATCCACAAAGCAGCTTGCTTTGCTCCCCTAACCCAAGCTCTGCAGTGTCCCACTGTGTTGTGGAATACTGCAGAGCTCAGGTTAAGAAAGGACTCCACACCATTCTATTGCTGGGCCATGCAGTATGATTGTGGAAGCAGCCTCTAATTTTCCAAGAGGCTGCATTGAATTGCAGCTGCTTAGAAAATGGCAGCTTCTTAATCGCATTGTGCAGCCCAGTAATGGAGCAGCTTACTTTACTTCCCTAACTTGAACCTCTTTGAAAGGTAAGTGCATGATGGCTGACACTAAATGAGGAGGGTTCGGGCCCCAGTGGTATGGGAAGCAGGCTTGAGGCCTGATGGGACTCTGAAGGTTAGAAAGTGGAACATGAGTTATCTCAGGAGTAGGGGAGACTTTGGCAGACCCACGGCAGGTCTTATACTAGGCCTCCTCTAGGTCCGTGAAGCACCCTATGCTTCATTTAACAACCACATTGAGAAGAATAAGGATGTAAGATTCCATGGCAACTTAATGTGAATTTTCTAAGTTAATCTGATATGAGAAGAGGGAGGGGAAATCATAGATGGAGATAATAGCTGTAGTATCCAAATAACACATGGCATTTTCAATACAATACAGGTAGTCCTTAATGTCCAATTTTTCAGCAACTGTTCAAAGTTATAATAGCACTGAATGAGGGGGATCTATGACAGGTCATTGTTATTGCAACCACTGTAGCATCCTCATGGTCCTATGATCGCAATTCAGACACATGGTAACCACCTCAAAATTGCAATGTCACGACATCCCACAGCCACATGATCAGCATTTGAGACCTTCACTGTTGGCTTCCAACAAAGTCAGTGAGGAAACAGGCATAGGCTTGCAAATGGCAACTGCATGAGAGTGGGATGCTGAGTTTGTCTAAGGACAGTAACTGGAAGTGCTGGAATTCCTATCACAGATAAGCACAATTACAAGATGGTGTTCCTTGACTTAGCAACCATTCCTGATCACAATTACCACTGGTAATTTTCTTCCAGGAAAGGATGCAATTGGAGTATCTATCCTCCATAGTTGAATTTTGTAGTTATTATTTCAGTCTGAGAAAACAGAAGATCAAAATCTGTAAGTATAGAAAAACTTTCCATCTCTGAAACTTGTTTCGTTAAGATTCATTCAGTTTGAAACCTTTCCCAATGGTTTCAAGTAGTTATTAAAATTCACCGGAGCCAGAATGTGGACTTAAGGAACACTATACAGTAATTTCTACTTAAAAAGTACACCATCTTAATTTATTTGAATTAACAATTAAGCTTCAGGCTATTTCCCATTATGTTTTACAAAATTTACAGTACAACCATGGGAGCAGACATGTCTGAGACTTTAAAATAACACACTTCAGAGAATATTTCTAGGGAAACCAGAATCGGAAAGGGATCAATCCCAGCACAAGCATATTACAAATTTACAATTTGAATTACTTAAAACAGGATGCAGGGAGTGGACCATCCACCGTTCCTAAACAAATACAGGGCAGCAATATTTTGATCCAGCCCAGTTCTATAGGTGGTGAAAGTACACCTTTTGCATTGAATCCTGCAAACTTTTAAATTCTAAGCAAGGTGAACAAATCAAATGCAGATCTCCCTTCAGCGATAAAGATCCCTTACAATTAGGATTTCCGCGTTCATATGCAATCCATCTCTGGCTAAGCACAAGGCAAGCAAAATTCTTTTTCCGATTTACTACGATTGGTGAAATGTGGCACCGCACAAGCCAGTTCATCTCCTGGTTCAGGGGTGGGAAGACGAAACTCTCACCTTTCAGCACACTAAGTAGGAGATCGATCCCTTCCTGGTAGCAAATCAGCGACTCCTGGAAACGCGAAGCCGAATCCAGTTCCACTGCTCGCTTCAGCACCGTCGCCGCCGAATCCTCCATGTTTGCGGATGTGTGTCTAATACATTATGGTCACTTATCTGAAATTGTACAAGGGTCTCCTGCTTAAGCAGGGAGTTGGACTAGAAGACCTCCAAGGTCCCTTCCAGCTCTTGTCTGATTGATTGACTAATGTCAATCAGCCAGCGATGCCCGGCACGAGTCACGACACTTTCCTCTGCGGAGGGCCGCCCCAAATGCAACAGCCCGTGCCCAACCCTGCAAACCTGCAAAAGCGAAGACATCCATCCGACCCGCCAAGCAAAATGGAAAAGAGGCGGGGTTGCCCCGCCCTTTTCTGCTCACGTGATTTCAAAGAACCGGAAAGTGAACGCTTAAGGAAGATCCCAAGCTGGTCCCTCTCTTCCCGTGGCTCCGGAGGAGGAGACTTTACACGTGATTGGCGTCTCTTTTTGCAAGAAGGAGAATCGGCAGCGTAAGATGGCAGCCTGGAGATGTTCTGTATCCGCTTGGCAGGTGAGAAGTTTGGAAATGATTAAAAGATTTCTGTAAATTTCAGATGGTTTTATCAGGAAGAGAATTGCAGAAGTTGCAGAACGTCCTCGCTGGAGCTGAATAAAGCATTACCGTAGTTCTTAAATGTGTTTTTAATCAGAAAACCCGATTCTGGGAAAAATTGATGCCTTGGAGCGACGAGTAACCGTTCATGTACTTTTTTACTTGGTAAATCATTTATACTTTCCAATTTCGCTGATTTAAATATACGTGAATACATCTGGTATAAGAAGATGTGCTTCCTGTGAATCTCTGATGCTTTTGGTTTTCCAGGAATATAAAATAACTTCTTAGTAGAATTAATATATGCACCCATGCATTTTGTCATCATTGATTTAGTTGAAACTTTTATATATTTGACTGTGTTATGTATTAAACTCTGAAGTATTACGTTGTTTCCTCCTTGGTTTCTTATGCTGCAGAATCTGACCAAAAGGGAACCAATCCCTTGGAGAATATGGATTAGGCAGAGATTTACAAGGTCACGAATTCCAGAATCGGTAAGCCTTGGGTTAAAAAAATAAACATTATAGTTACAAATGAAAATGAAATTACAAATGAAAACGGTCAAAATATATTCTTAGTACATCAAATCAGTTATGAATATATGCTTTCACCTTTGTACTTTTAAAATTGAATTATGTAGGTCTGAATTGATCAGAGTTTAACTTGCCTTTATTTCTGATATACCTTCCTGGCTATGGAAGACTCGCTCTACCTTCATCCCAAAGTTGACCCTTGCTGTAAACCACATGTAAGCCAATTACTAGCCAGTATCCATGCCAGTAAATAATAAATTGTGATTAAAAAAAGGAGGAAACCCCCCAGTTTAAATATGGAAAACTAAACTTTGTCTTTGATATCTGGGATGAAATGAAGGCAATAGCTAGAGGGTAAGATGTTTAAAAATGATTATTTGGGCATCTTTGCGCCATGATTAATGTGAAGATGAGCCCTGGAAATCATTAATAACTGATTTTACTTATTGGATTGATTAATAATGAGGGTTTAACTTCTTTTAGGTATTTCAACCACAACCTGGTGATCATGAAAAATATGGTGGTAATCCAGAAAAGCCTCATAAACTACATCTTATCACCAGGATCAGAAGTGGAATGAGACGTCCTTATTGGGAGAAAGAATTGCTTGAAGAGCTTGGATTAACAAAAGTATTTAATTTACAGTGTAAATGACAGTGTTAGAGATTTTTTTCCACCTTTAATGCTTCTGCATAAATTTCAGTTGTACGAATTGTTTATTCAGAAGTTGTGGAGTTAATAATTTGAACAAAATGGTTGTCTATGACCATGGTTCTCTATTTTGAGATATTTGGCCACATAGTAAAATAATTTGTAGCTAGAACAGCTCCATGTCACAAGTTATAATACTGATTAAACATATGAGTTCATTTTCATTGTAAGGCAGAAAGTTGGTATCAAAAGGAAAGGAGAATCTAGATTCGCAATTGCCTGTCGATTCCAAATAGCCACAGTGTTTACTTGAGAACAGCATGGAAACATCTGCTTCTAATTCTTCTTTTACTTTCCAGTGTAGCCTATAGTCCTGTTAACTTTGTTGATAAAAGAATATTTGTAGCTCAGGGTTGAACTGTGGGGTCCTTGGTGCTCTCTGAGCTTGGTTGCTTTCCTGCAGATATTTCATTACCAAATTAGGTAATATCATCAGTGCTATAAAATCCTTATAGTTTCCCCCAAATCCAACCTTGCATAGCTTCCACTGAGCTCAACATTAGCTACTTCTGTTATTTTGAACTGTTTAAGGCAAATTTTGTCATCAGGCTGGGTGATTTTAGCCCCTTGTAGCAGTTTGGAAAGAACAGTAAACTATACTAAAATTAGATCCATCTGCAAATACCATTATTAGTTGGGGATGATTGCATCCTGCAATCACAACATTCTGTCCTTGCCAAATGGTTCTATCACAGCAGAAAATAAATGTATCCAAAATAATCTCCAGGGACATGTATCATTTCTCAGAATTAAACATGTTGAACATAGAATGTAGTACCATTGGTATCTCTAGGGCTATCAGATATGGTCTGCAAGCATCAGATGCCATTAGATGACAAATTAATTCTGCAGTGATGTCTAGTAGTTGTTTGAATTTTGCATCTTGGATCTGGCAATCTGCTGCAATAAGAAGTAGCTATTCATAGAAATAATAAAAGAAAACATATAGGCTATTGCTCTTAATTTAGGAACAAAAAGGGGGTTTGATGCTTCCTTCTATCTTAGGTTTTAAGATGTCCTTACACAACCACTTCAGATCTTTCCTTTTGCTTTCATGAAAGCATTTTGATGTCAGTGTTAGAATTGGCAATATCTTCTAGGTCTCTTACTATTTTATAATGCAGGAATGGCAATTCAGATATGTATTTCCTTAAACTATGTTACAAAGGCAGTCTCCAGAAGTTTAAAAAAGAAGTTGCTGCTCTTATGTGTCTGCCTGGTTACTGAATTAAGAGTAATATGAAACTAAGTAGAATTGAAGTGCTTTTGTTCTTGAAGGATTATAACAGATGAGGGAAGAGAGTGAACAAAAAGTGATTTCTGAAAAGAAGCTTTATACTTGTGTCACAATGATTACAAATGGCAGGCTTTCATTCTGCCTTTATCTTTAGGAGTCTGATCACATCATGATTGTGTGACATACAGATTTAATAATAAATAAGACCAAATGTGTGGCAGGATTCATTTTTTTGGCATTATCTTATGTTAAAGAAAAAAAGAAAAAATTAAGTTCTTAGAGGCTTACCCATCTCTTCATGGAATGTGTACTGTAATTGGGAAGCAAAGCACTTTTCTAGCATAGAAAACAGTTAAGGGATGAATCGGGTGGGATGCTACCTGTTCTGCCCGGCTCTATAGAACTGGTAGCTCTGAAGAACAGCAGATACTGAACCGGTTCTGTGTCTGCTGCTGTTTGGTCCATCCATCCACCCGGGTTCTTACCTGTCCTTTATTTCCTGCTTTTTCAACCTCAGCTGCTTTGTGCGGCACTGCTGAGGTTGAAAAAGCAGTAAAAAAGTGGCTTTTCAAAAGCTGCATACTCGCGCACAGCACTTATCAGCTGTCCAGGCGGCACAGCGTAAGGTTTATTACACATGCACGCAGCAAAAACGTAGTCACCGAACTGGTAGTAACACTGGTTGAATCTCACCCCTGGGATGGATTGTCAGAATCAGGACAGTATTTGCTTCTAAGGACTACATGAGATTTGGAGCAGTCACCTGGGGGTTGCACAGCGGCAGACAGGATGATGAGACTGACACAGTAGCTAATATCAGACCTCTTAACAATTCTGCTCTTTACATGTTGTTCTCCACAGCTGAATCACTATAGAAATCAAGAATACTTAAGGAGTCTGCATCTTTAAGCAATTATATTTATAGTTAAATCCCTGAATGCTTTAACAAATGTTAACTTTACAGGTAGTTCTTTTTTTTTTTTAATAAAATTTTATTGAGTTTTAACAAAACAAATAAAACATCTTATTTGAGTATAGCATGGTTCTGGGTTATCACATTTCCATACAGACACAATTTCATATGCGTATTCATCTTATGTATTCAACTTCATATCTTATTACTCTTTTTCCAACTTCTCACTATTTCTCCCTTTACTTCTCTTAATTTTTTTTTATGGTTATCTCATTTTCTTCTTATTCAACTGTATTTCTTTTACCTAAATTTCTATATCTTTTTATTCATTGTACTTATACTTTCATCTGTCTTGTTTATGTTCTCTTCCAACATTCTTAAGAAGCAAAATTCCCCCTATGATTGCCAATCGAAGTGCAACACCTTTAAATCTTATTGTTGTTATCATATGAAATCTCATTAAATATTGAATTTGTGCGTTCTAAAATTATAAAATTCAAATTTCTAATATCTATTTTATATCATGTAAATCTCATCATTCAGACTCTGCTTGGTACTTTCCCTTGAAAATGTAAAAAGAAAAATTCTAAAAACATAGCAAAAACAATACACACACACACACACACACACACACACACACACACACACACGCACACGTAAACAAAATAGTTATTCAAAATCATTCTAGTACTGGTGTGAACCCTGTAAATATTTCATGTTTCTTTTCAATATCTATCAATCTTTGAGAACAATTGAAATGTTTCCCTCCCTTCTTCATTATTACTCAACTGTTAATAAGCATACAATTGGATAGTCATACAGTTTTATCTTATAAATTATTTACTATTAATAAACAAAATAATTATTCAAATTCATTCTAATAACTGGTGTAAATTTCCTTATAAATCTTTCACATTTCTTTTCAATATTTTATTAATCTTTAGAAACAATTGCAATGTTTCCCTCTCTTCTTTATTATTGCATTAATTATAAATAAACATACCATTATAAAACAATAGTTTTATATCATAGATTATTTACTTATTTCATTTCTAACTCATTACAGTATGCTACTGTCACAACACTATCTTTTGTACCTTTGCAGAATCCTCACTTTTAACTTAATTTAACCATTGTCTCTGTGTTTTCTAGCTGAGCAAATACCTTTAATCCTAGTACGTTTTCCCTTTTTCTTTATTTGTCCCTCAGTTCTTTCCCTTTCTATCTTCCCCCCTTTTTCTCATTTCTTTTTTTATACCCTTCTCTCTAATTTTCCCTTCTGTAGTTTTCTGCTTCTCCTTGCTGTTATACTTCTTTTTCAGACTATTTTTCTTTTTGGCTGTTCCCTTT